GACGCCAGGGAGGGGGCAGGCGTTCATTGATAAAAACGCTGGGCTCTCTCGGGCGCGAGCGCCGCGTAGCAAATCCAGCCAGCGCCACGCGCTGCCGCGGCCTGGCGGAAGCCAGAATTAGCCGGGCCCGCGCAGCGCCGCACCGCCCTCATGGAGCCCGCGGCCGGCTTCCTGTCCCCGCGCCCCTTCCCGCGTGCTGCCGCCCTGCCAGCGCCCCCCGCCGGGCCCGGACCTCCTGGGAGTTCCATGCCGGGACCTGAGCCGGAGGTGCTGGCCGGGCCGCTGGCGCTGGACCCTGGGCGCCTCATCACTGACCCGCGCAGCGGCCGCACCTACTTCAAAGGGCGCCTTTTGGGCAAGGTGAGCTGGGGGGTGGTGTCAGCGAGGGTAGAGGGGGACCCTGCCGGCCTCTTTGCCCGCGCGGGGCGTGGCAGGGGCGTTTGGCCTCGGCGCGGGAACCTCTGCTGGCCTGCCCTGGCGCTCCCCTGGAGCGCCCTGCCTGATGCCCCCTCCTTATAGGGGGGCTTCGCCCGCTGCTACGAGGCCACTGACACAGAGACTGGCAATGCCTACGCGGTCAAAGTCATCTCGCAGAGCCGCATCACCAAGCCGCATCAGCGCGAGAAGGTGAGCCGGGACCCAGTCCCAGCAAACGACGGGTGGGGTGGGGACAGTGGCGTGGGAGCCCTTTGCGGATGACAACCCCGCGTCCCCACTGCAGATCCTAAACGAGATTGAGCTGCACCGCGGCCTGCAGCACCGCCACATTGTGCGTTTCTCGCACCACTTTGAGGATGCTGACAACATATACATTTTCCTGGAGCTCTGCAGCCGAAAGGTGAGGGATGGTGATGGAGGTGGGGGAGGGAATGGGGACCTTAAGACCCAAAGTTGGAGCCCTGGTTTTCCTCAGCAAGCACAAGTGGAGGGAGGATCCGGGAGGGCAGACGAGGGGCTGAGGCAGTGGCTCTCTGCAGTCCCTGGCCCACATCTGGAAGGCCCGGCACACCCTGTTGGAGCCAGAGGTGCGCTACTACCTTCGGCAGATCCTTTCCGGACTCAAGTACTTGCACCAGCGAGGCATCTTGCACCGGGACCTCAAGCTGGGTGAGACTCCTGGGCCAACAGGATGGGGGTTTGGGGAGGCAGAGAAAAAGGCGTCTGACACATTTCTCTACCCCGGTCCAGGAAATTTTTTCATCACTGAGAACATGGAACTGAAGTTGGGGGATTTTGGGCTGGCAACCAGGTTGGAGCCCCCGGAGCATAGGAAGAAGTGAGTGTTTGAGGAGGGGGGTGGCCACAGTCTGTGTGACACAGATGTCGTGCGTGACAGACACTAAATATGTATGTGGTAGGCACGATGACTGCCTGATGTGTCTGTGTAATAGATGGGAAAGGATGATGGGCTGTGTGTGTGTGTGTGTGTGTGTGTGTGTGTGTGTGTGTGAGATGGTGGCAGTGGCAGCCCGGGTGAATGGGAATGATGGAGAGGCTGTGGGTCCTCTGTGTGTTTAGTCCCCGAGACAGATGGGTGTAAGGATTCTTGGAGCTGTATGACTGATCCTGTGTGAATGTGGATGGTGACATAGAATGTGTGAGATGGACTGAGTGTAGGGATGGTGGGACATGACACCCCGTGTGTCACGATAACCTGCTGTGGCAACGAAGACTGGGTGTAAAACAGATAGCATGTGTGGTAGTTGAGTGTTTATGGGGGACGTGACAGCTGGTGTTGGTGTGTGTGGCACAGACCATAGGAGGTGACAGCCTGTATGGGTGTCTGACAGACGGGAGTGGGGGAAGGAGGAAGGGATCAGTGATGGACCCTCTGTTGACCCTGGAGGAGGGGGCTGGGTTGGGGGTCAGGGCCTCCCCCTGTCCTGCAGAGCAGCTGAGCAGCTGGGCCAGGCGGGTGGGCAGGGACTCAGCTGCCATCCCTGGCATCCATTGTCTCAGAACAAGCAGGAGTTCTCTGGCCTTTGGTGACAGGCAGCTGCTTTGTCTGGACTCACAGTGGGGGCAGGGATGAGGGGCCAGCCAGGCTGCTTCTGAACCTTGTCCTCTGCTCTTCCCTACCCCCTTTCAGGACCATCTGTGGCACCCCCAACTATGTGGCCCCAGAAGTGCTGCAGAGACAGGGCCACGGCCCTGAGGCAGATGTGTGGTCCCTGGGCTGTGTCATGTGAGTCCCAGGGTCATGTGCACACAGGGGGTACCCAGGGAGGCATATGTTCCACTTTACTCCTGACCCCCTTTCTCTGCCCCACAGGTACACACTGCTATGTGGGAGCCCCCCCTTTGAGACAGTTGACCTGAAGGAGACATACCGCTGCATCAAACAGGTTCACTACACGCTGCCTGCCAGCCTCTCACTGCCTGCCCGGCAGCTCCTGGCCACCATCCTTCGAGCCTCACCCCAAGACCGCCCCTCAATTGACCAGATCCTGCGCCACAACTTCTTTACCAAGGTTTGTGGCCCCCGAGGCATGTCCAGTCTGCGGATTCCCAGGGGATTGAATGGGAGCAGGTGACAGGACCCCTGCACTGCTCTTCTCTGCTCACACGCCTTCTCTCTTCAGGGCTACACCCCCTACCGGCTCCCTGTCAGCAGCTGTGTGACAGTCCCAGACCTGACACCCCTTAACCCAGCTAGGATTCTGTTTGTCAAAGTCACCAAGAGCCTATTTGGGAGGAAGAAGAGTAAGAGTGAGTCTGGGACGTCAGTGGTTTTGAGGGTACAGAGCGGCAGGGAGCTTGTCAAGTACATGTGAGGGTGTGAGGCTGAGTCCCTGGGGAGAGTGTGTGTTACACAGGCATGTGGGTATGCCTAACAGTATCATCCCAGCGGGAAGCAGGGGGGCTGGACAGGGTTCTGAGGATTCTCTCTCGCCCCACCCAGATAAGAACCATCCTGAGGAGCGGGACGAAGTCTCCTGTTTGGTGAACAGCCTCACTCGGATGTCCATTGGCCATCAGGGTGCCAGGCCCGAGGTGAGGTGCTCACGTGGACAGTGTTCCCCTGACTCACCCCCACCCTAGCAGCTGCGGGAAGCCTGGGATAAAAGAGGCTGATGAAACATCTAGCCTCGTGGTGGCCTAATTGGCTGTGTCTCATCAGCCAGGAAGGGCTGACCTGGGGTGCCCCGGGTGCCAGGGCAGGGCCAGGCCATGGACTCTCAAGGATTTGGATTTTGGGGCCTATCTCACTCCCTTTCTCCACCCAACCCTCCAGGCTCCGGCAGCTTCAGGTCCAGCCCCCGTCAGCCTGGTAGAGACAGCACTTGAGGACAGTTCACCCCGTGGGACACTGGCGAGCAGTGGAGATGGTGAGCCACCAGGAGGGTGAAGGGTGCTAGAGGTTTCTGGGCCTGAGACCAGGCCCAAAGGGAAGGAGTGGGTGGAGAGTCACTGTCTAGGACCTTGAGGACTATTGCCTAATTCTCAGTGCCCTGTTCCCTTCAGGGTTTGAAGAAGGTCTGACTGTGGCCACAGTGGTGGAGTCAGCCCTCTGTGCTCTGAGAAACTGCCTGGCCTTCATGTCCCCAGGTGAGGCTGGGGTCTGGTGTATGTGAATGGTGGTGGGAGTTCTTAGACTGGGAGGCCAGGAACAGGTCCTCATTCCTTCCTCTTCCATGACAGCTGAACAGAACCCCGCTCCCCTGGCCCAGCCAGAGCCTCTGGTGTGGGTCAGCAAGTGGGTTGACTATTCCAACAAGTTTGGCTTTGGGTATCAACTGTCCAGCTGCCGTGTGGCCGTGCTCTTCAACAATGGCACACACATGGCCCTGTCAGCCAACAGAAAGTAAGTGGTGTCTTGGGGTGTCTTGTATCCAGCCCACTGTACTCAGCAGGGCTGTACCTTGGTGTGTGCTCCTGGGCTCCCGGACCTGCAGTCTCTCAGGGGAGGGGCGTGGGTACAGGGCTCCATCGGACTTCTGTCTCCATCTCCTCCCCTCCAGGACTGTGCACTATGACCCCACCAGCACCAAGCACTTCTCCTTCTCTGTGGGTGCTGTGCCTCGGGCCCTGCAGCCTCAGCTGGGTGTCCTGAGGTATTTTGCCTCCTACATGGAGCAGCGCCTCATGAAGGTTTGTGGACTGGGGTGGAGCACGTTGAGGACGAACACATCCTGATCCCTTTCTGTTCCCCTTTGGGGGTGGGAGGGCGAGGGGATGGGTGCTGCAGCTAGAAGCTGAACCTCTAAGGGAGACATGAATGGAGAGAGGACTGACTCATGTCAGACAAGTGACCTGCCCCTGCTCCCAGGGTGGAGATCTGCCCAGTGTGGAAGAGGTGGAGGTGCCCGTCCCCCCACTCCTGCTACAGTGGGTCAAGACTGATCAGGCCCTACTCATGCTCTTTAGTGATGGCACCATCCAGGTAAGAGCTCCTCTTGGAGTTGGGGGTAAGGTCTGGGAGGTCCAGGGTGCTGGGGAGGAAACGGTCTGGGCCTTAGGCCCTGATCAGTGCCACCCTCCTGCACACAGGTGAACTTCTACGGAGACCACACCAAGCTGATCCTCAGTGGCTGGGAGCCCCTCCTTGTGACTTTTGTGGCCCGCAATCGCAGTGCTTGTACTTACCTTGCTTCCCACCTTCAGCAGCTGGGCTGCTCCCCAGACCTGAGGCAGCGGCTCTGCTATGCTCTGCGCCTGCTCCGGGACCGCTGCCCAGTCTAGGCCCCAACCTGCGGGGCCGGCCACCACCCAAGCCCTCAGGCCTGACGCCTGTGCCTGTAAGGCTCTGGCCCTTGCCTTTGTGGCCCTCCCTGTTCCTTTGGTGCCTCACTGGGGGCTCTGGGCCGAATCCCCCAGGGAATCAGGGACCAGCTTTACTGGGGTTGGAGGTGGCCTCCTACCCCTTCTCCAAGAAAAGCCTAAGCCTTAGCCCCCCGCTAGGGGGCGTTATTTATGGACCACTTTTATTTATTGACAGACATTTATTTATTGGGATGTGAGCCCCAGGGAGGGCCTCCTCCTGGTATAATAAACCGTTTTTGCAAAACTCGGGGGAGTCCTCACTCGCAGTAGAGCCTGTGGACCGTGGCCACGGCGAAGAAGGAGGCGTTGGTGACCGCGGCCGTGGCCAGCCTGTCGCGGGCCCAGTCCTAGAGCGCGCGGTTGACCACGCACATGCCCTGTCCGGCGCGCGGCCCCAGCACCACGCTGCACACCAGCTTGTAGCGCGGCGGGCTGAGCTCGCGCAGGCGCAGGCGCACGTGCACCAGCTCACACAGCTCCGGCGCCAGCCGCCCGGCCTCGGCGTGGGAGGAGCACGCTTCGCGCAATCCTGCCTCCAACGCCGCTTCCAGGGCCTGCTGTGCGTACGCGGCCTCACAGCGCTCCCGTGGCGCCGACTCCGTGCGGTACGAGGGCGCTGCTCAGCGGGCGGTCGCCAGGGGTAAGCCAGAGGAGCTGACCCACGAGCCTAGAGGGGGCAAGGGGCCCAGGGATGGGCGCCGACCCCGAAGACCTGCGCCTGGCCCGGCCCGCGAGTTGCGGCGCGAAAAGGACGAGGCCGGACCTAGCACGGAGCCACGGCGGGAGGCCGGGCCCGTGCCGTCTGGTCGGGTCTCATCGATGCTGGGCAGACAGCCTGGAGGCTGCGCTGGTGATTGTTTCAGCCCATGGTCTTTGGCAGCCTCCTCCTCCTCGTAACCGGAGGGCACAGGCCTGCCAGCCGTGGACCTGCCGGCTGGAAGACCCACGCTTGGACGGGATGGCCCTCACTGGCCGTCTCTGTACACCATCCCGTCTCTTACTTAATGATAAGAGTTTTTAACCCCTAATCCCTTCTTACCTGTTTTTTTGGGGACAGGTGAATCAAATAGTCCGGGGCTGCGTGGATTCCTAGGTGCTTAGAGGGTTAAGGGCTGTTAGGGACACAAGAAGGGGAGAGATGCTGCTCAGACTGTCATCTTGCTATCCCTGCCCCCTGAGCTCCACTTTCCTTGGGCACTATGGAGGTTAGTTAAATGAGCTCGAAGTACACCTCCTTTTCTCCCTTCCACCTGACTTCACCAGCAGGAGAAGGGGGAGATGTATCTGCCCTCTGCCTCAGCCTAGACAGTGGTGCCTCCACCCCCTGACCAGAGGGAGGGACAGACAGACCCAACTCCTTCATCCCCCACAGATCCTTCTAGCCCTGTGAGTCTTGAATCCAGACATCCTCCACCCCTACCTGCTCTTACGGTGGCTGGCACAAAGATCCCTACAGCTGGCTGCGGCTGGGGCCAGGTGACTCAGGATGGTCCTTCCACTCTCTGCTTTTGGCTTCCGGCCCTACCTCCAGAATCACTTCTGGGATGGCTGCCCTCTTCTCCCGAAGCTCCTCAGACACCTGAGTCACCTGTAGCCTTTGGCCTCCAAGCTCTCTCCTAACAGCCCTTGCCTGGCTGGCCTGGCTGGCAGGTGGGAGGTTAAGGGCCCCTTGCCTTTGTTGTGGAGTTGCCATGGGTTACTGGGCAAGCACTCCCCTCTTCCCGGTTCCCTCTTTCCTGTCCTGGCTCTGGCTTAACCTGAGTGTGCCTACTATGAGCACGTGCCAGGTGACTGAGTCATCAGGGGAGAGGGATCAGCGGGGGCTTAGAGCCCAAGGGCATACAAGTCTGACTGAAGGGGCAGATGCAGAGAGAGGGGCTCTGGTCAGATTGGTGTCCCCCGACCCCAGAGCTCTTGACCCACTGTCCGTTTCACCCCTTGTGAAGACTGGCTCTCCACTTGTCAGCAAGTCTCAGAGGGCCTGGGATATGGGGAAACCCTGAGGCTGTGGGGGAGGCCCCTCAGAAATCCGGACCTGGGCCTACAGGAAGAAGCTCCCCCACCCCCGCCCCCGGCCCTGTCATCTCCCCGTCAGCCTCAACTAGGGCAAAAGTTTTCCGTTCCCTGTGCCTAGCTAGGGTGTGGCTCGGATGACTTCCTCAATTCAGGGCTGGGGGAGGGGAAGGGAGACCCATCCGAATACAGACCTGATGCAACAGTAATGACTCCACTCCTAAGTGCACCCTGCTGACCTCAATGCCCTGGGGCTTGTCCCCAGCTATCCACACCTCTTGTGTGCCCTACTGCTCAGATTGCCGACCCCCCCCCACCCCCCATTCGGTTGCATTTCAGGGATGCCAGAGATCATGACTCCTCTTTCAGAGGTGACACCTCCTCACCTGACCCCTCTCTGGGAGCAACAGGACTGCCACCTCCCAAACAAGCCAGGTCTGGGCCCTGAAAACGGTCCATAGGGACAAGGACTTTCCCCGCTGAGGGGGGTTCCCCAGGCCTGGCTAGCCCGATCTTGACCCTGTGTGCCTGTTGGGGGGAGGGTGGGAGGGGGCAGGGAGTTTGAACTCTGAACCCAGGACAGGCAGGGGCCAGGGTGCCAAGACCCTCCGACTCTGCTTAGGGCCCCTCTAGGGCTGAAGTTTTCTCTGGGCCTGTGGGAGCTGGGCGGGGCCTCGTCTCTGGCTGGGCTCTAGTTTCCGTGGAAACCCACAGGCTTCCCACCCCAGCGCTGCCTGGGCATGCTCCCAGCTGGGGCCTCATCCACAGCCAGCCTCTCCTCCCGAGTCCAGTCCGCTCTACCTTGGCCTCTCTTGGTCCCCTCCCTGAGTCCCCATCCCCAGGCCAAGCCTCTGGCCTCCTCCACTGGCCTCTGATGCCTTTAGGAACCTGGGCCTCCTGCCTCATTCCTAAACTTTAGCTTCTCAGCAAACAGGCCTCCCAAGCTCTTGCCCCTCCCTCTCGGGCCTTTCTATCTCCTCACCAGCTTTAGGGCTCAACCAGGCCTCCTGCTCCTTCCACCTACCGCCTCCCACGGACCAGCAGACAACAGGCCTCCTAGGCTGTTCCTCCTGCTCACTCCCCTGCCCTACCCCACCCATGGAGACCCCAGGACTGATTGTGCACGGGGAGGCTGCGACCTTTTCCACAGCACTCCGAAGCCTCGTCAACAACCCCCTATACAGGTGAGGGGGGGCCCTGTTTGTGGGTTTTCCCTAGCTGGCTCTGCTGGGCCCCTTGACTCTGAGGAAGCTCTGGGTACAGAGGAAGTGGGGAATTAGGACTTAAGCCTCCTCCCTGGTGAACTCAGTCTGGGGAAGTCAAGTGTAGAGGATAACTACTGGTCGCTTAGTGTCTACGAGAGCCAGAGGTGGGGGCACTGGGGACCGGAGCTCAGAGCAGCTATGTGACCTCAGGGAAAGGCCTTCCTGTTTTGGATCTTAGGCTCCTGGCAGAGAAGAGCCCTCTGCCCCCAGGACCCTGAGAAATGGAATGTAACTTGAGTGCCTCCCTAGGGAGGCAGAGGAGCAGATAACCCTGCTCTGGGAACTGCAGACTCACAAGAGGAACAAAGCTCAAGAGACTGAGCCAGAGTTGCAGACAGGAAGTAGTTCAAGGGTACTGCCTGGGGCGCACTGCCTGCCCAGGATGCTGTGCTGTCTGAAACCAAGGGATAGAGTACGGGGGTAACGCTGGTCAGGAGAACTAGAATGCAGCTTTCTATTCCCCCTGCCTCAGAGCTGGGCCCCTCCCTACCGGTCGGTGACTCCTATAACCCTACTTCTTTGGGCATCACAGTCTGGTCTAAGCAGTGGGAACCCCCAGGCCTTGGACCGGAGACTGGGAGGCTCCAGGAAGCTCAAGCTTCATCTCCTGCTTCCTACCCGCTATGCTGTTCAGAGGCCCAGAGGGTGGGGCCGGTAGTGATCGTGAAGATGGAAAATGTGGTCCGGCCTCATGATGGTGCCTCACTGACGCGTCTATTTGCAGCCGGTGCACTCTGCACCCCCAACCCTATCCTCTCCTGTCTGGAGGAGGCTGAAAAAGCTGAGTTTGCAGTCTGTGGAGGAGAAGCCAAAAAGAGTTTCCCTTCCCCCAAGACACAGGCTGGGGGGGGAGGAGAGGGGTATTGGGATCAACCTTGTATCAGCCCTGGTGCCCCCTCAGTGATCAATTGATCAAACATAGCCACCTCGTAGGGTTTGGGATTCGCATCCCGTTTCAGGGATGAGAAAGCTGAGTTAATGAGTAGGAAGTCTCTTGCCTAGGCACCACAAGGTGGAGGTGGAATTAGAACCACACCTGTGTGACCCAGACCTTCGGGTGGAGGGACTGTCTCTTTTACAGGGCAGATAAGTAAACGGAGTTGGGCAAAGGCAAAGCCTAGAGTTGCACAGAGACTCTGGCCTCCTCTTCCTGGTTCTCTGCCCCTCTCTCCCACAGTGATGTTCGCTTTGTCGTCGGTCAAGAACGGCAGGAGGTGTTTGCCCACCGATGCTTGTTGGCATGTAGATGCAACTTCTTCCAGCGACTTCTGGGCTCAGAGCCGGGCCCCGGGGTGCCTAGCCCTGTGGTGCTGAGCACCGTGCCAGCTGAGGCCTTCCTGGCAGTGCTGGAGTTTCTGTACACCAACAGTGCCAAGCTGCACCGCCACTCCGTGAGCCCACCGGGCAGGGGTCTGGGTGGGAGGAGGGGTGGCTGAGGGACAGGGGAGACTCCTTTCCACTCCCCCAATCACCCACTCTGCAGGTGCTGGAAGTGCTGACGGCGGCTGTGGAGTATGGGCTGGAGGAACTGCGAGAGGTGGGTTTATGTGGCGCCTCATCTCGTTTCCCCCGCCTCTTATGGGCTTCAGTTCCTATCCTGCCTCACACACCGGCTAGCCTGGAGAGCAACGTGCACCGGTACAGACAGAAGTATGGGTATCTCTGTGTAGATAGGCATTTATGTGTGCCTGTGTGCAAACGGATATGCGCGTGCCCTGTGTGTGCTGTGGGGGCATGTGGGGTGTTTATGGATGGTGCTGTAGATACCAGGATAAGTTAGCCTTGATCCCTGTTCTTCAAAGAGAGACAGACACAAGAAAACTCTCAACCCAGTGCCATAAGAAGTGTGACAGATAAGGGCAAATGGTGCTGAGACTGTACGGAGAGTCTCTAGTCTCGCCACCAGGGAGAGAGGAGGGGAAGACTTCCTGGAGGAGGAAACATTTGTGTTGGATCGGGTAGAACAGGTAGGAGTTTGTACAGAGGGGGAGAGGAAAGATGGCGTTCTAGTTACAGAGACAGAGGTACAAAGATGCTGGTGAGACATTTAGTGTGGCTGGACTCAGTGTGTGAGAGGAGAGGGAGATATGAGATTGGAGAGCATGCCAAGGGCTGGTTCCTGCAGAACTTTCAAGAATTTGGACTTCTTTTACCCAGAGGGCAGTGGAAATTCATGAGGTTTCAGATAAAGGAGTGAGGATTTGGAAGCTAAGGGGAGAAGGGATTAGGGCTTACCAGTCCAGTAAGGGGGGGTGGGGGTGGCAGTGGTTGCCCGAGGTGCATGGCTTTGAGAGAAGTGGAATTGTCATGACCCAGTGCTTTTCTGGATGTGGGGGGTGAGAGGGAGATGTTGTGGATGAAATTCAAGTTTCTGGTTAAAAGAGAAGTGTCTTCAAGTCCAGAGGGGGACACATGGAGAAAGATTAAGTGTCCTGAGAGAAAGGGAGAGTGGAATTTTCACATGGCTCTTATCTAGCTTGATTAGTGAGGAATGTACTAAAAGGTAGGTCGCTGGGCTTGGCTTTGCTAGTTTCTAGTTCCTCCAGGTGTGCCAAGTCTCGGGCCCTGGTGATTCCCTGCCTCCCTTGGCCTGGGAGGTCTGTATGGGCCTGGGGCTGCTGTAAGCCTGGGTGGCTCACTGCTCCAAGCCTGCTCACTGCTTCTGGACTGGGGCTGGGGTCTTGGAAGAGGGACATTTGGGCACAACCCACATTCGTTTCTGTTCCCAGCTGTGCCTGCAGTTTGTGATGAAGGTGCTGGATGTGGAGCTGGTTTGCGAGGCCCTGCAGGTGGGTGTTGCTGGACAGGCTTGCAGGTGGTCCCCCTATGGAGGGCCGGGCTACATGGCCCCTCCAGTCTCAACCCGACCTCCCTCATTCTGCTCTCAGATTGCCGTATCCTTTGGCCTGGGACCGCTGCAGGAGCGCTGTGTAGCTTTCATAGAGGCCCACAGCCAGGTACAGCTCCCGACCTTCATACTCCCAACCCCACACGCCTCATCCTGCTCCCCACTGACCCAATCGCGGACCCACAGGAGACCCTCCGGACCCGTGGTTTCCTGGAGCTGTCGGCACCCGCGTTGCTG